GGGTGGGGGGTGGGTGTGAGAGGCTGGAAAGCAACTGGTTCGGTGAGTGCTGCTCATTCCCTCCTGCAGGAAGAGTTATTCCCCTCCGGATTGCCGCACTCGTTTCCACATGCAGGGGTCAAAGTGACAGGTGAGGCACATTTGACGTGGGAAAGAGAGATGCTCGGCTTTGTTAGCAGGTTTTTAGCAGCGTCGTTTCATACACAGTCAACTTTCCCTCCTCGGCACATCTCAGCAACTCCCAGCAGGAAGAAAGATGGATAGAAGATAATATTTAACCCATTTAAAAGCATCACCTTAAGTGCTATTATTTCCTCTCAGGTTTGAGGGGAGAATGCCAGAAGGAAAAAAAAAAAAAAAAGTGAACTAATCCTAAAGACGACACTTGGAAGGAAACATTTAATTCTTGTTCCTATTCATTTGTGAGAATTCACCAACCTTCAGGTGCCTCAAGGGAACGAATTGGAGGTTAAAATTATGAGTGTCAGAACAGAGAAGGACAACTAATATATTTTCCTCTTTATCCACTAATCTCACTGGAAGGTTCATTTTTCCAGTACACCTGTACCAGAAAAATAAATGTGCCTTTTAGAAATGTTTTCTTAAGCTGGTAACAGCTTCAAGTTCTGAGCCATGTGTTCAAGCACACATCAATTGCACTTTGGGCAATACAGTAACGGTATTTACCAAACAAAGAAGTCCCCGAAAAAAACTTTCAAGAGCCGAACATCAGCATAAACAAAATATTTACTTGCATGGGATAGCTTGCAGCTTGTGACAGAAATGTGGCTACAAAAATCAGGAGCAGGCTGAGTCCTAAGCTGTGGAATGAGGAGTGTGAGGAGGGCAGAGCACTGCAGAGAGAACCAGAGCAGAAAATTGCTCCAGCTGATGCAAGACTACTCTGGATTTACAAGACTCTCCATGTAACTAAAATAAAAACATACAGAATGAAAAAATGCTTATTAACAGGGGAGGTTTAAAGTGGTTCAGGTGGGAGCAACTAAATCCTGAAAGCAACTTGAGTTCTTAACAGTGGAAACTGCAGAACAGGGTCTAAAGTGTTGCAGTGCTTTCCGTTATATTTATTATAAACTACAATCAACACATTTCTCAGAAGAGAACTCTCCATGTGATTGCTGGAAAAAGTTGAACTCCCAAGTATAAAACAATAGATCCTCATCACAGCCTCCCCAGGCCATCAGTAAATAAGCAGAAACAAGGTTTATAGCTGGAAAATTGTGAAGCCTACCTGGTCTCTGCCTCTCTCTCTCCCCCTTCCCTCTGGCACCATAAAGGCACTATTTACTGGAGGCAGCTCTCCACACTCATCAGCCCTCACAAACTGCCAGTTGCAGAGATTTCACCAATCATATTTATAAGCAGTGAACAAAGGAATGCTTTCAAACTTACAAACGCATAAGTAAACATTTAATAACGTCCTCCCCACCTCATCTTTCCCAAAAGAGAGAAAACATTGTATCCATCAGATCCACTTCTGAGTATCCTGTTCATTCCAATAAGTAGGTGTTTTTCTTTTCACTAGAACAGAAAAACACATCTGCTACATTTTATATCCAACTTTTTTATTTTAAAAGATACTTTTACTGCCTTTTGCCTAGCATAGTTTTGGAACACGTTAGCAAATAATATTTTACCATGGGGAGTGTGTGTTCCATTTTATTTTATAATGCAGATTTGAGGAGTCGTAGCACTGAAGTTTGTTTTTGTAACCACATGGAGGTTTGAAGCAACAACCACACTCAGGAAAAATACTTGAAGAGGGTGTATATTTGTGCTGGGATCCTCTCCCTCATTTTGCACTTTATGGAAAGCAATCAAAATAAACTTTTCAATATGTCTTTGTATATAAACTAGCTGAAATATTCATCAGGAAGGAGTTTAGATTATCACAGCCTTTCTAGTTCCAGGTGCGTGCTTAGGACCCAACCCCAGATGTCAGAAAGAGTCTCCACAAGC